TCTAGTCAAGACAGTGGCAAAGACAGGCGAGCTGAGACAACAGACAGCTTCCAGTGAAGAACACTCACTCAAAAGCCGTTTCCCTACTCAACTAGCCACACTGTGCCTAGATCTGCCATTAGAGTCAGAGAGTCTCCACAGTTGTCAGTAGAAGGCGGCACCTTGGCACACTGAAGCTATGACTGTGGAAGCATTCATGACCCACGCAACTCAAGGAGCCATTGGATAACACCTTTAAGGAGCATTTGTTCAAGTTCAGCAGAGTGCAGCAGAAATCCCTGAAAGTCCAGGTTTGCTTGAGAAGGAATGGCTCAAGGTTTGGACTGAACAGTGAGCATTTATAACTTTACCTTAGGTTCCTCATGTACATAGTTTGAATATGTGCATGGAGAAAAGACCCTGTGGTCCAGATGCCTATGCTGTTTCATTGATGTCACATCTATGGGCTTTTTGTTCTTTTCTTTTCTTCAGTTCATTTAAAGTCAAACTTGTATTTATTAACTGTCTAGTGGTACTATTTCTTTGTGTCTTTGAAGGCTACAGAGTGACCTACTATTATATGAATAAATCACAATCACATAAATTGAAGAAACATGGAGACTCAGCCACTGGGGAGTTTTGCCCCCTCCCACTGCTCTATCAGCCTGGGTGGCTGTTCTGATTCTGTAACTGCTACTTCCTAGGCATGCTTTGCTTCAAGAATGTTGGCTGCAATGGAACCCTGGACCTCACTGTCTCTCTGCCTCCTGTGACCATTCCTCTGTGGGGTCTCCACATCCTCAGATTCCATGGGGAGGTGCTTCCTCAGTTCTTCATGGTGCCAGAACCCACAATCTCTCCTCCAGCTTTCAGTATTGTTTAGTTTAAGAGGAACCCTTGCCTATCTCCCTCCTCCTCTCCCTTCTCCCTCTCCCCTCTGTTTTTCCTTCTCTCCCTCCCCCATTCACCTGCCTCTATCCCTTCTTCCTTGTTTCCTTCTTCCATTCTCTCTCTCTTTTTTTTTTTTTTTTGCCTTGTTATTTTCTGAGTCCATCTGAGTGGTGGTTATAGTCAGTCAGTCCCTCCTGAGAAGAGTGATATTCTTTAATGGCATAACCCAGATCTCCCAGCATCATAGATGTTGTCTCAAAAGTTTTTATTATTCCCTGGGGAGATTCCACTTAACACAAGTGGTTTTGCCTTCCCAGTAGGATAGAGAACAGGCATCCTCAAGACGACAATGCCATCTCCAATCAGGTAGAAACTGGTCATCAGAGGCAAAACAATTTAGCTCATTCTGCATCAAGGAGAGATACCTACAACTAACCAATAACAGAAACACAGCACATCTCTGGGTCTAACTGGTATGGAGCAATAACTAGAATGTTTAAAATGCCACTTATGAGAAGTATTAATAAATGTCGAGAAATGCTTCTCCAGGTGTAACAAGAGGAAGAAATGGGTCAGGCCCAATGCTGACGAGTGTCTTGTAGTCTCTTGTCTAATCCTCACAATAGTCATGCATAGACGGGGAAACTCACCTTAAATAACCTGAGAGAATCACACAGCTTGTAGGTGACATAGCTGAGGTTTGAGGCCAGGTCTGTGTCCACTAAACCTGGCTCCAGCGTCAAAGTCAGGTCACACATTTGAGTCACAGATCACTGCCCTCACATATTCATCTTGTTATTGGAGAAGAAGAATAAGCGCGCACACACACACACACACACACACACACACACACACACACACACACACAAACACTCACACTATTTTCTTTATGATTCTAGGATTGAACCTAGGTTCAATGTGGACATAATGAGCACTCTCTCCCTGAATTACAACTCTAATCCTAGAATAGGATAAACAAACCTCTCCAACAGCAGATACACAAGAACCACATCTCTGTTCTTGGGATCCCTACTTCCAGCTATATTTTGTCTCTTAGCTTACATTTGTTTGCAAGGGATCCATTTGCTAGGGAAAGGGACGCATGGTGCTCTATGTGTCTCTCCACTTCTTTCATCTACTTCCCTTCTCCGGGCTGCAGCATTTGTGATAGTTATCATTCCTCAACTCCACACACTCAAGGTTGTTGCCACCTCTGTAACTTCCTACATGGGAGAGTGTCTTTGAGCTAGAGAGCTCTCTGGTATAGTCTTGGGAGGAGCCCTGATGCAGAAGGCAGTAGAGTGTGCCTTTGAAGGGCCAGTTACTCTCATGTTCTCTGACTTATAAAGGCAGATTGAGTAGCAGATCAGTGTCTAGTCCGTTGGGTCAGGAGTCGCACCCAGCCCCAGCAGCTGCTATCTCCAGGAGGGTGGTGTTTCTTGTTGGTGGTAAATGTCCTTATAGTTGAGACAGAGGCTGACAGAGGAACTCAGCAAGAGTTTGCCTTTCCTAAACATTCCTCAAAACCTTTCTGTAAAAGAAGGCTTTAAATAATTGTATTTAACTTGTTATTTGGATGAACCTTTCTCCATTACAGGAAAACAAAAATGGATAAAGAAGGATGGAGTAGCAACAATCAGGACATGGGGAGGAGACCCCAGAATGCCTCCTGCAGCAACTCACTTCCTTTCCCAAGATTCCTATCTTTTCATCCATTAAAGCAGGAAATGTAAGCAACCAGGTTTCTTCGTGCATGGACAAGCCATCAGTGTGTGAAAGGTCAGGGAAGGCATTTCTTTGTGTGTTTTGGGAGCATAGTTCCTTCCTGGTCTTTCCTGGAAATCATGCTTCAATTTGCCTCTGGATTCTTGGGGAATGGCACTACAAATAGCCCCAGGTATCGCTGATAGACCCTCAACATTTACTCCAACTTTACCAATGGAAATGTCATCTTGGAGAGGGTAATGTGACAGCTTGAGGTCACAGAACTACAGACTAAGCTGCTTGAGCAGGTCGCCTGAGTCTAGGAATTAAGTTGACAACGTCTGCAGAGCCCTGTAGCTGCCCATGGAGCCTTTATCTCCTTACACTTGGCCAGTTTGGAGCAGCCAGTGATTAAGACACAGGGGAACCGAATTGTGGGTATGTTCATCTACTCTCATTTCTGTTCAGGGCACTCTCTCACTTCTTAGGATCTGTGCTATCCCCGTGTATCTTGTATCCTACGTGCATGAGGTATTTCCTGCAACTCTTCCAAGAAGTGAATTCTGTCTTGCTGTGGATGAGATCAGTTCTTAATTTCAGTGAATCATGGATATACCTTCCTGTGTGATTGCTCCTACCAGGAAGCTAAATTTCCTATGTCCTTATTGTTCTCCAACCAGATTCAGTGATAAGTACTTACTGGGTATCTATTACCCTCAAGGTAGTTTTCAACACCAGGAAAACAAAACAAACAAACAACAACAAAACAAAAAACTTCCATTTTCCCACTTTCTAGCCCAACACAGTTGTGTTCCTCTTATGATTCTTGAGTAAATTCAGTATTTGAAAGGATTTCCTTACAATATTCACCACAATATCATTCTCTTTATGGATCCTTGAGCGTCATCCGCTTACAAATTCAATGTCTGACATTCCCGTTAGGTCAAAGGGCAGGGACCGATGACAGTGAGCAGCTGTCCTGTCACTGGAGTGCCTAACTGTCTCAACAGCATAAGGAGGTTAAAGAGTACTGTCCTCATTTCAAATGGAACACCCAAAAACCAAGCCACAGACTAGGACAGAGTCAGGGTTTGGTAAAGATAAAGACATGGTGTGGGGGTGGGGGTGGGGGTGAGGGGCAGTGCTCCTTCTCTTCCTATCTGAGGAGAAGAGTCCAGAGCTCTAACATCTTTAGGAAAGGGGAAGAAAGGAGAACAAAGCATAGGACATATGTGTGTGAAGAAGCCATACTGAATCTGTTGTTTTGTATGATTACCTAAAAATCAATATTTGCTTGTTTGTTTGTTTATTATGTATGTCCCTGTGTGTGCATGCATGCCGTAGTAGGCATGTGAAGGCCAGAGGACACTTCCAATCATCTGTCCTCACCTTCGACCACATGGGCTCCTGGAGACCAAACTCAGATATCAGGTTTGGGAGCAAGTGTCTTTGCCTACTAAAGCCCTAAAAAATTAATTAAAATTAACATTAGGAAGTAGCCAGCATGTCTCAAGTCTAGGGAGATTGGGGGGACAGGTGTCTAAATTATAACCCACATGTACCCTCATACATTTCATCTAGAAGCGACTGGTGGATTGAAAGGCGTCAAACAGAGCCCTGACCACACTGCAGCCGCATTCTAAAATTCTACTTCGAGAGTTTTACTCTCTGATTTGTAAATGTTTCCATTCTTTAAATACGTCATCAACTGAGAGGTGGAAATGTACAAATGGGATGGTTGAGTCGGGGATAGGGGAAGGAGATGGGGAGACTGCGGAGGCAAAGCCCCCCTCTTCAGGCAGCATAGACGATGAGGAAGTCAGCTCCAGAATCTTTCCAGACATCCAGCTGGGATTGGGTTTCAGTTCCAGTGTCTGAAGATCTCAGCACACATAGAACCTAAGCCTGCACATAGAGCAAGCATCAAAGCATGCTGATGCTATGAACTTTCTCTTGTATTTAAATCAGCATTTAAAGATTCATGTATTCGAGCAAAAATACTTTCTTTACACATTCTTTTAAAATTTCCTTTAAAGCACTTCATCTATAATGGGTGTAAGGAAATCAGAGTAAGGACTATTGACAACATCAAGCTTTCCAAACTCTGCTAATGGAGTTGTCTCTGTGTGCTTGATAGATTTGTTGTTCTTGTATCTTACCTTCACTAATAGTAGAAGTTCAGGCTCACTGGTCACTTCGAGGAAATATACTAGAGATGCTTAGGTGAGGGATGAGTTAGGTGACACTTTGACCCACAGTTAGTTCACATGACTCTGAAGTAAAGCAAGGGATGATATCAACTGTGAGTCACTCAGGATTTCATGTTCACAGATCCGGCCTAAAGGGCTATATAAAGCGGACTTTAAGGGAACTTGCAGTAAGGGAGCAGAGTGACCAGCAGGCCCTGCCAAAAGAACCTGGTCACAATGAAGTTTCTCATGCTGATTGTGGTCTTGCAGGTGTCTGTCTCTGGGGCCATTCCTGTGAATGAAACAAAATTTGCTGAGGTAAGTATTGACAGGATTGCCCTGGTCGGGCCTTTGTCTGTGATATTTACTGAATATGCAAGCTTTATTTTGAAAAGTACTATTTGATTTGAAAATTAGCATAAATAGCTGTTTTCTTTTTGGCATGTTTTGTTTTCTATAGAGGAATATAAAAATGAAGTGGTGATTTAAAAGCATCTTATTAAATTGATGAATAATTGTGCCATCTACAAAAAGCTTTGGGTAAATAATTTTAGCTCAATATTATTGGACTACACTTACGATAGAGTGCTGTATTTTGATTGCCCACCTCATTTTGTCTTTTATTTACAGTAGTAATTTAATGTCCATTAAAGATGTGAGATTTGGACATGGCTTAATCTATGTAGATGCTTCAAATTTTCATGATAGTTACAGCATGCTCCCTCTATGTTTACCTCAGATGTTTATTCATAAATATTTAAAAATAAAATTTGAAAAAATATTACCTTTTTATAATGAAATAAAATTGAGCCCCTATTTTCTAAAATTACATACATTCCTTTTTGAGACAGGGTCTGCTGTGTTGTCTAGTCTAGCCTTGAACTTGTGGCCTCAGGTGGTCCTTCTGTATTGGCCTCCTCAGCAGTTGGCTCTATTTTCTAACCTTATTTTTACTTTGAATTTATCCAAGTCTTCCATTGTGTCAAGACTTTCCCCAAAGCTGTGGCTCAAGTCCAGACCTCCAAGCATGCCAGGCATATGCTCCAACACTGAGCTACCTCTCCCAACTCAGTAAAGTTTTGATACCAGCTTAAATGGCTATAAATCTATAGACAATATAGATTTTGCCATTTACAGTGTGCCCTTATACACTAGATGCCAAAATGGTGCTAAAAATCCAGAAGCAAGCCGGGCGGTGGTGGCGCATGCCTTTAATCCCAGCACTTGGGAGGCAGAGCCAGGCGGATCTCTGTGAGTTCGAGGTCAGCCTGGGCTACCAAGTGAGTCCCAGGAAAGGCGCAAAGCTACACAGAGAAACCCTGCCTCGAAAAACCAAAAAAAAAAAAAAAAAAAAAAAAAAAAAAAAAAAAAAAAAAACCCAGAAGCAAGTCTGAAGAAGCAGAATAATAAATAGTTTTCCCACTGGGCTTTTGGGAATCTAATTATTTAAGACATGTTTAAATAGCATAGGAAGTTAAATTTTTTTCTTCCTTGTAATTGATTGTCTAAACAATAATAATGTAGGCTGTGATGAAAACATCTGGTCCAGGAGCACCAACCTGCTGTTGACCATGCTTGCAGAGGTCCAACAGAAACCTGGCAGTGTACACGTGTACTGTGTAACTATGTACATTACCTGTGTTTTGTCTAGGAGTACTTGACAAGACATTACAACTTTCAAGAGGACAGAATTCTGAAGACAAAATCCAAAACCAATGGAAACACGCTAGAAGAAAAAATCCAGGAAATGCAGCAGTTCTTCGGGCTGGAAGCGACTGGGCAACTGGACAGCCCAACTCTGGCGATGATGCACACACCTCGATGTAGTGTGCCTGATGTACAGTATCGTATGGCGGTGCCGGGGAGGTCACGATGGATGAAGCGTCACCTCACCTACAGGTAATGTCAGTGTATGCCCCATTGAACTCTACTTTCCCAAGGGTGTGGCTTCTAGAAGCCTAAAACTTTTAGCTACAAGAAAGTTTTAAATCTAAGAGTAGCCTCTGTAAGTTGTTAACACTACAGCGTTCATTGTCTCCAGGCTGGTATGATGGCTCAGTGGAGAAAGCGCTTGTCATACAACCATGAGGATTGTATGACAATCCTCAGGTTCCAAGAAGCCATGTAAAAGCCATTATAGGCATGGTGGCTGCCTGTAATCCCAGCACATGGGAGGCAGAAACAAGGGATGCCCAGGGCCAGCTGGCTAGCTAGACTAGTAGAATCAGGTTCTCTGGTTTTAGTTGAGAGACCCTGCCTCAATAAGCAAAGTGGAACGTGACTGAGGAAGACATCTGAGTCAACTGCAGGCCTCTACATGCACGCACGTACGCACTACACACACCTCTACACATATAGGAACTCCTTATCTCTATGAGGAGAGCTGCTCACTGAAGGAAGACTGGCAGCCATTTGCCTGTCAGTCAGTCAGTCAGAGTAGAAAAGCTGCAAACAAAGAGAATGAAACCATTCGATTCAGAATAGAGACAAGACAGGAGAAGTCTGCAGAATATTAAAGACGGGTAAATGTGGAATTGGGGCACAATGGGGACTTGTGTTTATGAAAGTGAATCTTTCACAATAATTACTAGTAAATTATAAACAAGAGGAAATTAAATTACATTTTGATTGATTAAAAAAAGTTTTCAAAAAAAAGTGGTTTGAACTTCAACCAATTTGTTTTCACGTGGACTGTGAGTATGTGAGGAAGTTCTTTCTGCAGGTGTAGGTGCAGAACTGAGAGGCTGGAAAAGACAAGATTAACCCTTGGTGTGCTGGTTGTTCCCTCGTTATTTAACATAGGATCTATAATTACACGCCTGACATGAAGCGTGAGGATGTGGACAACATATTTCAGAAAGCTTTCCAAGTCTGGAGTGATGTGACCCCTCTGAGATTCAGGAAGATTTATAAAGGAGAGGCTGACATCATGATACGCTTTGCATTCGGAGGTACACAACCTGAGCTCCCCCCGGCCCCCCCCCCCCCCCCCCCCCCCCCCGTGTCATTTGTCAGGCTGTGTGACAGATGGAGCTGACTAACGACTTTCTTTCGTTTTAAAAAGCTCATGGAGACCCCAATCCTTTTGATGGCAGAGGGGGTACAATAGCCCATGCATTTTACCCTGGACCTGGTATTCAAGGAGATGCACATTTTGATGAGGCAGAAATCTGGAGTAAAAGTTCTCAAGGTAAGAGAGAAAAAAAATGAAAACTAACTAAAATTAAATTTAAGGTATGTTCTGATCTTGAAACAATAGATTCTGACAAAATATTATAGTCTTAAATAACAAATTCTGATTGTTCACCTCTAAATCAAATTTAACATTTTATGTATTTAGTCCAATTTTTCCTCATTGCAAGTCAGGGGTATTAGGTATGATTGTGTTAGAGATCATCTGTAAGAATCACCAAGCTTATACGAGCAAGTTCTGTACTGTAAACTCTTAGAAAGGGGAAAGTTGCTGTTTGAGTTTTGACCAGTAAAATCTATAAACTTAAAAGCGAACACTAATTCTGTAATTGATCATATGTTAACAATTTCTTAGATTCATGATGACCTGCAAAGATATTTATAGAAAATTTACAGATCCCTGTGGAGAAGTAGAAGCTCATATGTAGTCTTGGAGTCTTGCATGATCTTGGGATACCATTTCCAGAATGTCCAATCAATCAATTGGGACTATAACTCACTATCCCACTCAGATAATTGGGACTGAGGTTAACCTACTATTTATTATTCATTATTTATTATTAGAGGTAATCCCTAATCTAAGAAAATTTAAGCCATCATCTCAACAGCTTTTCTAATATCTCTTGGAAATTCTCAATTATACAATTCATTCATGTGGAAAACATAGGGAGAAATTCAAGTGTGGTCTCTCCACCCTGAATGCCCCTTCTCTGACTGATATTTTTCATGTGAGGTATAGCTATATTTTTACATATACCATGTCTGCTAGGAAGGTAGACACACATCTAAAGCTTTGACACACAGCCTAGAGCTTATCACGTTTTGGATAAGGACATTTTGAAGGCTGCAGGGGAATGTCATATATGATCCAGTACTTGCTGAACTACAAATCCTCAATCAGACATGCTCCATGTGTCTGAGTTTTTTTCCAGGGTCATTTGGTGACTGCTTGTAAGCTCTTAAAGTAAGAATGCTTTGGAGTTCTAATGGACCCTAGAAACATAAATCAATGCAGCTGCTCTCACCTGAGGAGACCAAACAAAAGTCAGTGGCAAGTCTGTGCAAAAGCAGGGGCTAGAACATGTACTATTGGCTCCTGGCTTTATTTTTAAAATTGACTTGACTCTATACTATAAAAAAAGGTGATTCTGAAAATTCTATGTGGCCTAGGCTGGCCTTGAACTCATGGTTCTTCTACGTCACCTTCCTGAGTTGGGATACAGGCATGCAGTACCATGCCCAGTATTGATGTATTGTTTTGAACCAGTAATGAAGAGTCTGATCAATGCTTGCTGAGTTTCCGTTACAGTGTTGAGTGGTATTTTTTATTCAGAGACAAAAAGGGCAAATTCTACCCAGGAGCATATAACCTAACAGAAATAGCAGACAAGCAGAAAGTCCCTGTTTGAAGATCAGGACTGATGAGAGTTAACTTTACAAAACATTATGACCTTGAATTCCTAGGCTTAGTCAATCCCCGTGTCTCAGCTTCCCAAGTGGTTAGAACAACAGACACATGACATTGTCCCCAGCTTTAAGAAAGATTTAGAAACAATGTGAGCTACCAAACATACCTGTGACTTACATTTTGGAAGATTCATGCCAGAACATATTCCATTTGTTTGGAAATGAAATGGTCCACAACTTTAGACAATTTTGGCTCCAAAGAGACATTTTCAGACATTTTTAGTTGAAAACAGAAGTGAGGACTCATACTTCCACAGAGTGGTGCAACTAGAGATGTCTAAATATCTGTAACAGAGGATTGCTCTGCTACTTTTGTAGCCTATATTGACAACAATATTGAGACTGAGAAAAGCTATTTGAAAGAGTGGGGAAATAAGTAAAGGATTCTCAAATGTTCCCTCTGCTGTGTTAGATGTTGTATTATTTCCTTCAAAATGACAAGACAATGGGCTAGCAAGATGGCTCAGAGGTTAAGAGACCACACTGAGCTTATAGAGGACCTGAGTTCTATTTTCAACACCCGCGTCATGCAGCTCACAACTGCCTGTAACACTAGCCCCAGGCAGATCCAACAACTTTGGTCTCTACGGGCACCTGCACTCAAGTGGCATAGCACAGCATATTCACAGTGGGATGACATTCAGCCACTAATGGATGGACTCCTATCACATGGATGGAACTGGGTTATGAGTAAAAAGGTCAGGCATAGGAAGATGAGAACCTCACTATCTCGTTCACATTGAGACATGAGAAAAGTTAATCTCATAAATGCTGAGAGCAGAATGGTGGTTACCAGTGGCCAAGGAGAAAGGGGAGGCAGGTGGGTAATGGTTGATCCATTAGTACTAAGTCACAGTTAGGAGCATGGAGCCCCACTCCAAGCTCTATGGCACAGCAATACAACTACTGTTTATTTCAAAAGCCTGGAAGAAAGTATTTTGAGTGTTTTTGCCACAAATAAATGGTACCTATTTGAAGAGACGGATATCTTTATCCTGTCTTAAACATTATGCAGTAAGTGTAGACATCAGAACATCACACAGTACCCCATAGACATGGACAATTTCATGTGTGAATTAAATAAAAGGTGACAGTCTATTTCACAACTTGATTCTTTTACCTTCTTGCCTCTTAGACACAAACCTGTTCCTTGTTGCCGTTCATGAGCTTGGCCATTCCTTGGGGCTGCAGCACTCCAACAATCCAAAAGCAATAATGTACCCCAGCTATGGTTTCCTTGACCCCGACACATTCCGCCTCTCTGCTGATGACATACGTAGCATTCAGTCCCTCTATGGTAAGTCAGACCTTATAATTTGCCGTACAAGGCCATGCATGTTTATGAATAATCTCTGATATTTATATTTGGAAAATTTGACTATCTCATTTTGAAGCCCGTGTGTACCCTGTGAGACAGGCTTCAGAGACACTGTCTTCATTTTGTTTCACATTTGGAGTGTTTCCTAACAGTGGTACCACCGCTCTGTTGATTGGGCTTCCAGAGAAAGGAAATTCAATTATTCTCCTCCGTGATGATGCAACTCAGCGGGACAAACTCTTCTGGGCATGCTTCTCATGAATTTCATAAGAGACACAACTCTTTTTTATTTTCCTTTAAGAAACAGAATATTTAAAAAGACCAGCTTTTCCTCTTACAAAACTCCACCAAATGAACATCAAAATGTATTTTCAGGACCCCCAGCGAAAAAACCACCCTTGGCAAATCCTAGCAGACCACTATCAACTGTCTGTCAGCAAAGCTTGAGGTTTGACGCTGTCACAACAATGGGAGATAAAATCCTTTTCTTTAAAGATCGGTATGATTATTTTCATATCTAATCAATGTTATGGGCTGTATGGTTAAATTTGTTAGTTTTTTAAATTTGTTTGTTATGGTTTTTTTTTTTTTGTCAGAAGATATTTGAAAGGATGTAGATCAAATTTGTAAGGCAGGGACATGGACTTGATTCCCAAGTTTTGGAGACATCTTAGATTTTTGAAAAACTGGTGTGATGTTGTTTGTGTTGACTAGGAAGCTAGTGTGTGAAAAAATTAAATTTGTAGTAGGAATCTGGCTGGGAATTAAAAGACAGGAAGTGGAGAAGCCCAGGTAAAAATGATGAGGTCTCAGTGGCTGGGGAGATGGTTCTGTTGGCAAGGTACTTGGTGTTCAAAGAAGAGGACCTGAGATGAATCCCCAGCATCCACATAGAAATGTCCAGGGGCAGCTGCACGGACTGTGAATCCGAGTGCAGGGGAAGGATAGCAGGGTCACCGGGGCTTGTGGAGTCTAAACCAGTCTAATTGAACCCAAAACCTCCAGGCTCAATGAGAACACGTCTCAAAAGATAAGCATGGGACAGTGGTTGAGGAAGAAACCTGTGGCCTTCACACACAAGTGTACAAACACACATACATATACATGAACACCTACACACACACACACACACACACACACACACACACACACACACACACACACACAAAAGTCTGGAATTAAGGCCTTGAAAAAGCTCCTGTGCCGACTTCCTTGCATACTTGGAGAATTCCAGAATGACTCCAGTCTCTGTTTTGGAGCAGAAATGGAGACAGATGCTGGATTGTGGGGAGGGAAGTGAGGAAGGCTAATGTGTGGGAGGCAGGATGGATGCTTCTTCTTTTGAGACGATAAAACAATAACTTCTTCCATTTATAAAACCAACTAACAGGTTGTGAGACCTCACTAGAATCTTAGATCCCTGGAGTCCAGGCTCTGGATATTTCTTTTTTTGTGTTTCCTGTTTAAGTCATTGTCATTATCTGAACTGATTCAAGTTCTCTTTCATGGTGCTGTCATGCAGAAATCCATGGAATAGAGTATGAAAATAAATACTGAATCATTTCACAAGTTCCCATTTGTGTTTTGAAAAATATGAGTCTACAGCAATTTTTCGTATATATTAAATGCATTTCCTGTCAGATTCCTCTGGTGGAAGCTTCCTTGGAGTCCAGTCACCAATGTTACTGCAATCTCTTCCATGTGGCCAACCATCCCATCTGGTATTCAAGCTGCTTGTGAAACTGAACGCAGAAATCAACTCTTTCTTTTTAAAGGTAACTCCAATGCTTGGTTCTGCCACTGAGAACACTTTAAGGAAAAGAATCAGTGAAGGAAAGGGTACCACTTTTTGTAGATAGAGACTAAAGACAGCACTCCAAACTTCTGTAATCATAGCTCTGAATGGTAAGTTAACGTACAAGCTCAACTATACAAGAAATACGCCCAACCTTTGGGATAAGTTATGAAATATGAGATGATGGAACTTAAAGCATCTAAGCAATAGAGCCACAGGAGGTAAACCAATGACTGAGAACAAAAACAGAAACATTTCTCAGTCACAGAGAAACTACTTACCATGGATGGAATCTCAGGGTTACTCACTTCCCGCTCTAGCACAAATAAAATTAATTTAAGAACTCTACACAAGAGAAATGATTTATAGTAAGTCAGTATTTTTATTATTTTTTTTTTTGGTGTGACTCTGTTGTTCCCTCTGTGTTTGTCCTTATAGATGACAAGTACTGGTTAATAAACAACTTAGTACCAAAGCCACACTACCCCAGGAGCATATACTCTCTGGGCTTCCCCAAGTCTGTGAAGAAGGTCGATGCAGCTGTCTTTGATCCGGTTCTCCGTAAAGTCTACTTCTTTGTGGATAAACAATGCTGGAGGTGAGGTCCCATGGCTGGTACCCTATCCACTAAGATTTGTGAGGCAGGCACAGAATGGAATTTCCAGAAGGCAGTTTTTCTATGAAAGTTTCAATACCTTTGTCTTTTTTGGGAGAGGCAGCAAGAGAAAATGGGTCTGAAACAGTCACTGTCAGCCTGGTTCTTTTCTCCAGGCCTTTGTTTTCTGAAATATTTTCATTCTGGAGAGTGTCTGGACTCCAAGACTCCTTCCGGTAATTGGTGGCCCCAGAACACAAAATAAGGAACCTGCCCTTTGAGTGACAGAGAGGCAGGGGGAGACCAGGCACTCATTCCAGTAGTAGTCTGGTTGTTTCCCCTGATGTCGAAGGAGAGAGGGATCGTCGTCCCTGTCCCCTTCTGAGGAAAACAATCAGGAGCTGTATTGCTTGCGTGTTGACATAAGACATGACAGAGAGTACGAAGATAGTAAAACCTCTATGTTTTCTTGAATATTTAAAATTCAAAATCTCATTTCAACTGAACGTCACATAGTTGTCACATAAATTGGTCTGCCAACTTTAGCCTTCCTTGAGAAAGAGGACTTATGATTTCACCAGATAAGATTTTCTGGAGAGGTGACAAACAGGTATAATATATTGCGATCCAACATTCCTAAAAATTCATCTGATTACAGGCTCCCCTTTACACTTCCAACCAACCAAAGAATTTCCTTTTCCTAAATGCCAGAGGGCCAGTGTTGAGCAAGCGACAGTTGGAGAACTAAATTGAGTGCGAAATAAGATAATAAGCATGTTCAATTGTCATGTGGAAGTCTAGAGAAAACTGACTCTTTTCACTCAGTGATAAAAGAGACTTTATAGGGGAAAAGTACAGAGACAGCTAGCCAAACTAGTGGAAATGCATGAACTGTGGACCAACAGCTGAGGAGCCCCCATGGTACCAGACTAGGCCCTCTGGATAAGGGAGACAGTTGTTTAGCTTGAACTGTTTAGGGGGCCCCCAGGCAGTGGGATCAGGACCTGTCTCTAGTACATGAGCTGGCTTTTTGGAGCCTAGTGCCTATGGTGAGACACTTTGCACAGCCTTGGTGCAGGGAGGAGGGGCTTGGACCTGCCTCACCTGAATGTACCAGGCTCTGCTGACTCCCCATGGGAGACCTTGCCTTGGAGGAGGTGGGAATGAGGGGTGGGTTGTGGGGGGAAGGCTGGGGGGCAGGAGGAGGGAGGAGAGGGGTATCTATGGTTGGTAGAAAAATCTTTTAATTAAAAAAATAAAGTAATGCACTAGAGTGCATATTAATTTAAAAAGAGACTTTATGGAAATACTAGGACCTCACTCTCCAGTGTGGACATGATGTGTTTTACTTTTAGTTTTTCTTTAACATGGATGTTCAAAACCTGTTGGTTCTGTGACTCTTTAGCCCTGCTTCTTTTCACCATGGGAGAAAAATCAATAATTATGTGTCTCGCTAGAAAGGATTTTCAAAAATGGTGGCAGGCAGCTAAGTCACTGGGCCAGTGAGTGCTGTCACACAAGTATCAAGCCCTCTTCAATGCTGAGCTGCGGGGGAACCCTGGGAGGGTGGGCAGGTTTGAGGGGAGTCACCGTCCGAGTTTTGACTCCTGTGCTGACTTAGGGAAAAATCAACCACCTGTTTCGGTCTTTGAACTTTTCATGAGTACATTTAAAACACTTTCAGGAAAGATGAATATATGCCTCATGTTGATGAAGTCCATATTCTCATTGTGCTCCTGCTGGCCATTTCCTCCCACAGGTATGATGTGAGGCAACAGTCCATGGACCCTGCTTACCCCAAACCTATTTCCACACACTTCCCAGGAATTGGGCCTAAAATTGATGCGGTGTTCTATTTCAAAAGTAAGTAGCTGGGAAAAAGATGAGAAGCCACATTTTCAAATACGATAATGCAGACTGGGATCCAGAGTGGGGGTAAGGTGCTCCAGTTTGTGGTGTGAATATGTTCAAATTCAGCCTGAGCAAACTTGCCTGTTGGTGTCACAGAGCTAAGACACAGCCCACATTGTGTGAGATGAGGTGCACAACACATTTAACAAGAACAGAAATCAGCGTTTTGTTCCTTCTCTCCTGAGTGGACCAACATTTGAAAACAGATTTGAGTTCTCCCGAGCCTTTTCCTCCTTCAGGATCCCTGTGTGCTTGACCTGGACCCTGTGTCCTCTCTTGGGACCTCCACCCAGAGAGTGACTAGCCGAGGGTGAGAGCAGGGTGCACTGACAAGGGCCCCCAACACTGACATCTCAATCACACCTTCGGTAGTCTAGATAACCTTTAAAATCAGCTCTAAGTTTTAAAGAAACACAAGTAAGAATTAAAGAATGGGATTTGTTTCCATTTTAGGACACTATTACATCTTCCAAGGAGCCAATCAACTGGAATACAACCCCCTACTACATCGGGTCACCAAAAAGCTGCAAAGTACAAGCTGGTTTGATTGTTAGGAATGATGCAGTTAAGAGTGTTGGCCAGTTCTTCAGTTTAATAAGTACTTACCACATGTTCACCGTGTGCTCAAGGTGTAACTGCATGACAGTAATGTAACATGAAATAAGGTGAGGCGTACAGGCCACAGATAAATATTTACACAGAAAAATGCTTTCTACCAAGTTTAACCTCTTTTGGTACATTTTTCACTTGATTCAATTCTTAATTTTGAAAGCAGGTATCTCTAAAGGCAGCCAGGTTTCTCTGTAGGTGTTTTCTAACAACCTCAAGTGGGAAATTAGAATTACTTCCTTGTCTAAATTTATAAACTGAAATTTAATATGTATTATTTTGTCAAATAAATTTAAAGAAAGTAGTTGGCTTTTGATTTTTTCTTTAAAAAATGTTGTGTGTGTGTTGACTGCATGTATGTATATGCACCACGTGTGTGCAGTGTGGGGAGAGGGCATCAGATCCCTAGAAACCGGAGTTTCAGGTGGTTATGTGCAGCCTGTGAGTGCTGGGGCTTGAACCTGGATCCTTGGGAAAGCAGCTGTACTCTTAGTCTCCGTATCACTGCTCTGGTCTTGGTTTTTAATATTTTTTTTTGAAAAATAGAATGAATTTTGAAAATAACTCTGGCTCCCAAATAAAATCTTTCTGTGACTATACCAAGGAGTCAATAGCGATGTGACAGCAAGAAAAAGTTGGAGCTTAAAGTCCTTTTGATCAATTGTGTAAGGACACCGTTTAATCCTAAGACAAGGAAGCATTCTCTAGCCTGCACATGACCCCGAGAATAACAGAGGAGGGAGGATGGAATGGGATGTCCGTTCTTGTTAGAGCCGTGTTGTAGCTAAAGTTTTCCTGCCTGGCCCACAGTCAGGACAAATCTCTCTCACCCGCCAGTCCCACGGCCGCTCAGACCCGACCAAGTAAACACAGAGACTTATATTGGTTACAAACTGTATGGCCGTGGCAGGCTTCTTGCTAACTGTTCTTACAGCTTAAATTAATCCATTTCTATAAATCTATACCTTGCCACATGGCTCGTGGCTTACCGGCATCTTCACATGCTGTTTGTCATCATGGCAGCTGGCAGTGTCTCTCTGACCCAGCCTTCCACTTCCCAGCTTTATTCTCCTCCTTGTCCCACCTATACTTCCTGCCTGGCCACTGGCCAATCAGTGATTTATTTATTGACCAATCAGCAACACACTTGACATACAGACCATCCCACAGCACCAGAGCGGCTGCGCCATTGCTGTGTGGCCTTACAGGACACTAGCCTCCTTAAACATGGGTGGAAGTGTGAGTAGCACACACCTCTAAGTTTGTTGTGGGGGCAAATACAACCTGGTGAGCCCCTCGTACCTGTGTCCTGTGTTGCCCTGACACCTAGGCTCCCTGTCCTCTCCACTGTGTATGCTGTAGTGCTCGCCTTTAAAGCTTACAGGTTTGTGAAATATGTCCGGTCTTAAAACTGACTGATATATGGACCCAGATACAGAAAGCCCTCCACAGCAGATGAGCATCTATTCACTTTTGAAGAGTGAGCTGAGCTGAGGTAGTAGGGATGAGGGGAAGGGGCTCCTTAGCCTTCATGTCTCAGATGAGTGTTGATCGTCATCATCAGCTTGATGGGATCTGGGATCATATAACAGAGCCATGAGGACCGTCCAAAGAAGATAGACTGGGGGAGGAATTCCTGCTTTCAGAGTGGATGGCAGGTTTACTACATTAAATCACACCCACGGTGGAAAGAGCAGCACTTCGTCCTGATGAGGACAGATACTTAAATTCAGGTTACGAGTTTGCATTTCATGTACGTAATGCTTCTGCCCAAACTATCGCCCAGGGACCTACAGAACACCTTATCCATCATCATGTGTTCTGTACAGCATTGTTTCTGACCAGGGAACTCATTTCACCGCCAAAGCGGGATAGCAGCAGTAGGTCATGTTCGTGCTCGTGCAGTTCACCGGTCTGATCATGTTCCATACAGTCCTGACACAGTTGACATGCTGTAAGCCTTTGGTTAATTTCTAGATTTTTTTTTTCTTTTCAGTGTTAGTGATGAACCCAGGGCCTTGTGTATGCTAAAAAGGCACTCTACTTTCAAGCTACATCCTCACTGTTATTAAGATTCTGAAAATGTTGCTTTGGTAGCTTGGTGCTAGTGGGTTTTTTTTTTTAAAACACTAAAAAACTAGTGTTGCTAGGTGTTGCTTTGATGAAAAGGGATATCTGATTGTCCTTATTCTATCACCCTAGATGACAGGGCTCTTAAATTATTAATGCTAGTGTCAACAGCAAAAAGATTTTTAAGACCCTAATTGGTGCTACTATTCTCACAGTAACTTTGTCAAAAATAGTTATTTCAAAAAGCATAGTATTTATATTAAAATTGACTTAGCAGATTCAATAGATAAAGTATTTTCTTAACTCCCACTAGGGCAAATGTTTCCTGAGATAGCCTAACAATTAAAAGCTCCTTAAAGTCTTGGTGGTTTTTAAGGATAGAGAGGCGGCCATGGACCAACTGTGAGAACTTCCTATTAATAGGTGGATTCTATTAATTTAAAAATTCTTACATGGTCTTTATTTAAAGGCATTTCTGCCACTCACTCTCTAAGACCATCTTTGCTGGCAGGTTCTTGGTTAGCATGACCATCCTTATGATTTTGAAGACGTTGTGCATGTCTTTAATTTCCTATTTTTTACTTTTACAAAGCCTAAAATGCTTTAAAAATGAGCTCTCTTTTCTTTTGTTTTAGAAAAAATAGATGTTGTGGTGATAATTTATCTGTGTCCCCCAATAAAATTTATCTGAGGATCAGAGGATAAAGGTCAGCCACTATTAGTAAAAACAGAAGTCATGGAATGTTAGCACACACCCTTAATCCATCTGGATCTCTGTGTGTTCAAGGTCACACTAGGGAACAGAGCCAAGTGTGGTGACACACGCCTTTAATCCCAGTACCAACCATAAAGACCTGGAGGTCTGTACAGACAGGTAGTGACAAGGAAGTGAGGTAGCTGGGCTAACAGCCAATGAAAGGGCAGAACAGCAAGGCAATAAAGGCTTGGGTAAGACAGGAAGTAGCTCGCACTTTGGAAGCTGCGTCATGGAAGCTGCGTCATGGTGAGGTAAGGTTAGCTGGTGGCTGTTCCAATTTTTCTGATCTCTGTCAGATTTTCACCCCTATTTCTAGCTCCGTGTTTTTTTATTTAATAAGATGGCTTAGAAATTCGTCTACAAGATATTTAAAAAAATTTTTGTTCCTTGTTTTTGTGAATTGTCTTCTATTCTGAAAATTTTCAGTAATTATCTCTTTTGTAATGCTTTTCTTAATTTGATTGTCTCCTTCTGAGACTCAAAAAATCATTCATTCTTTGTCATAGCCCCTTATTCTTTCAACTACTCTTTGAGTCTTCATTTTATCTTGCTCTGATATTCCCTGGACCATTTTCACATCTATGTTCAGTTTTAGTAACAATCTCTTCACTTGCTTGTAATCACCTCTTTTTTTTAAATTTTGTTTACTTTATTTTATATGTATGTGTATGTACTTGAGTGTATGTGTGTGACCATGTACATGCAGTACCTGAAGAGGCCAGAAGAGGTTATCAGATTCCCTGGACCGAGAGTTACAGGTAATTGTGAACTGACCTACACGGGTACTAGGAACTGAACTCTGGCCTTACATAAGAGCAACAGTGTTCTTAACACTGAGCCGTCTTCCTGGCTTTCCAATCAACTGTTTAGCCTGTTCATTCTGGATTTACATTTGAGCAAAAACGTGACCATTCCAAAGTTCCCACTCGACTTGTTTTCAAAACAGACTGGTCATCACTGTTTCTTGTTGCCTGTTCACCTTTGTGATTTTTCTCTCTCACCTTTTTATATTTTAAATTCTTATCTAGTAAGGATTTAATAATTTTAATATTCAAAGCTTGTAAATTGAAGTTCAATGTTTGCTTTTCAATTGACTTTCACTGGCAGAGTCTTGTTCCGTTGTGCATTAGGGAAGCTTTGTGAGATCATTTTAAAAGCATCTTAAACAGTGTTTTTTGAGATAAGTTTTCTTTATGTAGTTCAGAGTAGCCTTATGCTTATAGCAATCCACCTATCTCATCCTTAGGAGTGCTAAGGTCACAGATACACGCCACATGTCCAGCTGTGGCTTTCTTTATGTTTAACACTGTTTCTGATAACAATCAGGAATTTTTCTCACTAGAGACTGTCTGACTTCTTTTGAAAATCTGTGGTAAAAATCTTAGCTACAATATCTTTCCCTAACTTGCAAATTGTTCAAGTTCAGGATACCTAAAGTCTTCTGCTACAGGCTTCACCCTTGGGAAATTTCCCTTTCTCCTTGGCTGTATACTCACTTAAGCCCAATCCAACTTCAGCTTATTTTGTGTGGAGATATGTGTGCCTGCAGGTGTCTGTGTGCATGGCTGTGTATAGGAACCAGGACCCCTCCCCCTCCCCCGAGATTTCCATGATCAAGCCCAGCAATGCACTGAGGAGGTTGATCAAGACTGGTTTCCACAGAAGATCCACTCAGAGCACACCGTCTGCTGTGCTGCGTGAAGGTGTGGGAATTCTGATCTGAGAACAGCCATAGGTGAAGCTCCTGAAACTTGGTGGGAAACTGGGGTGGTCTCTTCCATTCACAATGCTGCTTGATCTAGTGTTTGTTACTCTCCTCCTTCTGCACTGGCATCAACTGTCAACTCAACACAACTTAGAATCAACTGGGGGAGGGTGTCTACTGAATAACTGCTTTCATCAGCTCAGTCTGCAGGTGTGTCTTCACTGCTGATTGACTGTGGGCAGCACCATTTCCTGAGCATGGGTCCCAGACTACAAAAGCCCAAGAGATCCCAAGAGCAAGCTGGCATGCAGCATCCTCCAGGTCTCTACTGCACATCCCTGCCTGAGTTCCTGCCTGAGTCCTCAGTGATGGACTATGATCTGGAAATGTAAACCAAATAAACCCTTCCTTCC